CCAGCATTATCAGAAGCTCTCAGCAAACTCTCGGTGCCTGACTCGCAGCATAGTCCTGAACCTCCACCTCCCTCATCTTTCTCAACCACAACCCTACTTCAAAGGGCCCTTAGGATCCTGATCGTGGACTTCCCCTCCCCCTCACATACACCACACTGGGCCCGGCTGCTGCGGCGCCTACAGCAGAAGGAGCGCGGTGGCGCCTGCCGCGGCCTGCGGCCTCCCACACCCAGCCGGCCCAGCCGCTAAGCTGAGCCCGAGCGCCCCAGAAGCCATGCGGGGTGGGAGTCGGCAGAGCCTCGACCTCGACGTGGGCCCACCATCCTAGACCACCTCACTCGCCTTCCCAGCTTTGATCCTGGCCTCTACTTCATATATTGAGTGGTTCTCAACCTTCCTAATGCTGGGACTCTTTAATACAGTTCCTCCTGCTGTGGTGATCCCCCTGCCCCCCAACCATAAAATTATTTTTGTTGCTGCTTCCGAACAGTAACTTTGCTACTGTTATGGATCATAATATAAAAATCTGTGCTTTCCGATGGTCTTAGAGACTCCTGAGAAAGGGTTCCACCCTAAAGGAGTCGAGACTCCACAGACTGAGAACCGCTAATCTCTACCCTGCCTGCCTCTTCCTACGCCATTCGGTAGGGTCTTCTCCACCAGGCCTGACCTCATCCCTCAGGGGCAGCCTCCCTCCCGCTTGTCTGACATGATGTCTTCCCGCAGTTCTGCACGCACAGGTTTCAGCGTCGGAGGCGGTGGGTCCTGAGTGGTGGCGCCTGGCTGTGCACGTGCTGGCTGTGTACAAGCAGCGCGCCTGGCCCGTGCGCCGCGGTGGACAGGAGGCCTGGGTGCCCCGCGCTGACCTGGCCTGCGGCTGCCTGCGCCTGCGCCCGGGGGTCGACTACCTGCTGCTGGGCAGTGCTGCGGCCAGCCCCGACCCTGCGCGCCTCGTCCTGGACCGCCACGGCCTCGCGCTGCCCTGGAGGTCACACTGGGCCCGGCTGCTGCGGCGCCTACAGCAGAAGGAGCGCGGTGGCGCCTGCCGCGGCCTGCGGCCTCCCACACCCAGCCGGCCCAGCCGCTAAGCTGAGCCCGAGCGCCCCAGAAGCCATGCGGGGTGGGAGTCGGCAGAGCCTCGACCTCGACGTGGGCGCTTCTCTGTAGAGCCAATCAGAAGCTGCGGCGCTCGTGGCGTCATTCCGCACGACGTTTAGCCAAAGGCTTGTCACGGAACAGCCTCAAGTCCGGTGGAATTGTGTCTACAGACCCCTGATCCATATTCTTTAGGAAGCGAATAAAGAAGGCCTTGAGTAAATTTGCCCAGCGGAAGTTCTAAATAATTTATCTGAGAGAAAGGGGCCAACGCTCTTAGAAAGGACTCCAGTGGAGACCCTGAGCGCTAGTTGGATTCGTGTCGCTTCGTGATTAACCAAAAGTCAATAGGCTAGGTATGGCTGGGAACGGCAAGACATTTGACAAAGGTGCCCAGTGGTCTCATATATCTAGAAAGTTTGGCATTCAGATACTTTAGTATTCTGATAGGTATTAAGATAGTCTCTGCAAAAGAAAAAACCTTGAATATCACCTGGTCTTGAAATATGGTGTAGAGCCATGGGGTACACATCTCAGCCTTGGCAGATGGAGGATTAGGAGCCCGAGGATTATCTAACAAGTGCTATTTGCAGATAAAACCGATTTATCTACATGAAGGATTTGGACTGGGCCTGGCCCATAGCAAGCACCAAATGAGTTTCCTGTAGTTATTTGAAAACCCAGAGGCCTCCCTGGCCTGGAGTACTCTGATGGGGAGGACCTTGCTGGGTGTGGAAGGCAGGGAGAGAGAGTTAAGGAAGTTCACAGGGGCTGTGGGAACCCTCGGAGCTATTGGGCCGCTGGCTGTGATGCCTCCCACCCAAGAGCCTGGATGAAAGTGTGGCTCAGAGGGAGCCTTATGTGTTTCTTGTGACTCAAACTTTGTTTCTAGCAGCCGAAGCAAATTGGCGTGGAATCCACATCTGTGCCACTTGCCGACCAGACCCTTCCCATCCCTCCCTCAAGGCGCCAGCCCTGCCTGTCTGTTCACAATAACGGAGGTGGCACAGGTGGCCGCCAGACCTCAAAGGAGGCCCCTTGTCCACCTCAAAGCATAGCCAACTGACTTCACTGCGGTGGTGGTGGGGGCGGATCTCCTGAAGCCTGTATTTGTTCTGTGAGGACCTAGCCTAGAAGGGGGGGTGGAGGGGAGGGGGGTTGGAAAGATTCAGAAACTGGGGCTGGGCCTGTAGCTCAACTCATAGAGTGCTTGCCTAGCATGCGTGGGTCCCTGGATTTGGTCCCCCTTACCCCGCTGAAAATCAGGAGTGCTGGTAAAAGTCTACCATCACAGCACTGGAGAGCTACAAGTAGGAACTAGAGGTCAGTCTGGGCTACATGAGACCCTCTCTCCAAAACAACAGCAAAACTCCAGCAACTAAAGGCAGAAGAGAGATTCCAAGCCAGGTATGGTGCACACCTGTAATCTCAGCACTTGGAAAACTGGGGCAGGAGGAGCTGGAGTTGGGATTTGAGGCTAACCTGGGCTATACTTTGCCTCATAAACCTATTTTTCACAGTAAACTATATGGCTTAAGAAAACAGGTATTAGCCGGGTAGTGGTTCACACTTTTAATCCCAGCATTTCGGAGGCAGAGGCAGGTGGATCTCCAAGTTTGAGGCTAGCCTGGTCTACAGAGTGAGTTCCAGGACAGGTCCATCATAATAATGAAGGGTGATATCTCAAATAATACTCAGGTGGGGGGCTGGAGAGATGGCTCAGCGCTTAAGAGCACTGACTGCTCTTCCAGAGGACCCGGGTTCGATTCCCAGCACCCACATGGCAGCTCACAACTGTCTGAAAATGCAGTTCCATGAGATCTGACACCTTCACACCAACAAACATAATAAAGTTAAGTAAATAAATAAAAAAAAAGTTAATACTCAGGTGGTGCAGGATTGCCATCCCAGCCACACAGAACATTGAGGCAGGAGGCCAGAAAGTTCAAGATCTCTCTGAACTAGAATGAGTTCAAGGCCTCACTGAACTCCATACTAAGAAACTGTATCAAAAGGACGCTACAAAAGGACTGGAGATGGACCTTATCTGCAGAATGCTAAAATCCCCTATTATGTCTGGAGCAACAGCAGAGCATCTGCCGAAAATTCCTGCAGCCAGGGGCTGGGGGCGTGACTCACCTATAGAGTGCTTGCCTAGCCTATATAAAAGCTTGGGGTTCAATCCTCAATAATGGGGAAAACAAACAAACAATACTTTAATCACACACGCTAAGACCCCTTTGTCAAATAAGGCCTTCTAGGTCCCAGGGTTTGTGGCGTTTTAGCAGCAGAGTGAGTGCTAGTCAGTACACTGCAGCAGATAACACCCTTGCTGGCTCCTCATTCCACCTGTGGAATCGGGCAGATGCTGACCCCACATTATGGACAGCTTCGGGGCTGAGAGAAAGACATAGCTGGGCCTTTCTGCCTGTGTTCCTGCTTCTGGTATGTTTGTTCTGCTTGCTCCCCATGCCCTGGTCTACATTTTTCCTTTGTTTTTTGAAACCTGGCCCAGGTGGTCTCCATAAACTTTTCCAACTCACCATGTCTCCTTGCCTGCCCCCCTCTGTCTAGAGGCCCACCATGTCTCCCTGCCTGCCCCCCTCTGTCTAGAGGCCCTCCATGTCTCCCTGCCTGCCCCCCTCTGTCTAGAGGCCCTCCTCAAGTCATTCGGTCTGTGACTGGCCCTCGCCTCTGCCTTTGTCTTTGCTCTCTGCATGAGTAACTATGTTTAGGGTCCTGATGTCCAGGTCTGTTTCTATGTTTCTGTCTTTTATCTCTGTCCTGCATTTCCTGCCGGAATGGTCCTTCTATCCGTCCCTTAGTGTCTGCCTCACCCTATGTCTTTCTTTGTATCTGTTTGGCTCTGTCTCTCTTCTTGCCTGCCCTTCTGGCTCCTTTAATCCCATGGGTGGGTCACTCTGCTTCAAACTTTAATGTATTTCTTTTCTTTTTCTTTTCGTTTTTCTTCTTTCTTTCTTTGTCTCAATTTCATTTTCAAGACTGGGTTTCTCTGTGTAACCCTGGCCTCCTGGGACTTGCTCTGTAGACCAGGCTGAACTTAAACTCAGAGATCCACCTGTCTCTGCCTTCTGATTGTTGGGATTAAAGGCGTGAACCTCCACTCCAACTTCTAAAGTTATCTCTTGGTGCCTGCCTCTTCCCACCTCTTTGTCCTTCTGTGTCTCATTTGTTCTCGTTCTTTGTGGCTTGCCAGTTGTTTTGTTTAGACAAGCAAGGTCTTATTGTGCAGTCTAGGCTGGCTTCAAATCTTCACCCCCTGAATGCTGGGGTCACAAGTGGGAACCGCCATGCTTGGTCTGTGTGTTTACTGTCTTTGTCTCTTTCCCTGTGTGCCTGAGCTCTTGTCTCTCTGTCTCTATCTCATCTTTCTGCATGGCATCTTGATCATTTTTTTTTCCTCTAAGCATGTCTCTGACTCTATGACTCTAATGTGTCTCCGTACTTGTCTTCCCCCCCCTGCCTGGTTCTGAACATGAAGTCTCTCTGTGTCTCTCTTTCTCTGTCTCTCCCTCCTATCTGACATCTTGCTCTCACCCGCCCCCACACACACCTTTCTGAGCACTCAGCTCGCCTCCAGCCTTCGCCTCACACCGAGTCCCCTAAGCCTCTACCTCCCCCTCCCGGCCAGCTGCCTTTCTGCACTCCAGGTCCCCAATGCCTAGTGGCATTCTGGCCTTGGCACCTGGAGCAGGGGGCCTCGGGCTCTCTCAGCTGCAGCTCCTCCCTTCCCAGGGCTGGGTCCCCGGGTGAGGCCCTTTTTACTGCGGAGGCCCCCAGTCAAATATCAAACCAGTGGGAGCAAGCGGGTGGGGAAAGAGGGAAGCAGGATCAGAGGTGATGGGGGTGGGGATAGGGAGGGAACGTGGGAAGAGGAGGAGGAGATGGAAAGGGAGAGGCAGCACCGGGCGAGGGAGGAGGTGAGATAGAAAGGAAGGCTGAGTCGAACAGGGAGGAGGAGGACCGAGGGAAGAAGAGCAGGCAGGGTGAGGGAGGAGGCGGAGGGAGTGCACGCGGCGAGCGCGCGGCTGGGTTCGCTGGATGAGAGCGAAGAGGGGGTGTGCATCGGCACCAACAGGGACCCGGGGCCGGCGAGACCGATCGCAGCTCTGGGAGATAGAACGAGAGCAGGGCGCCGGCCCAGGCAGGCGGAGGAGTGCGCTTCAAACGGGCACTGGGGTGCGCGGTCCTAGCCCCTGCATCTCGGGAGCTAGATCTCCCGTGCTGGGGACAGCCAGGCTGGAAGTCCCAGGAGGAGGGAAGGGAAGAACTAGGGGGCTGGGAGCTGGGAAAGGGTCGCTCCGAGGCCTCTTGGATGGGGGGTGCGGCTCGCCTGAGCGCCCCTCAAGCGCTGGTACTCTGGGCCGCACTGGGAGCGGCAGGTAAGACCTGGGGGTCCGGGCAGTAGCCCCTAAGGGAGGAGCGGGGTGGGGTGCCTAGGAGAGGGATGCAGGCTGCTCTCTTCCTAGCTCACATCGGACCTGCACCTGATCCCGAGGACTGGTGGAGCTACAAGGAGAATCTCCAGGGAAACTTCGTGCCAGGTGCAAACAGGGTGGAGACCCGGAGCCCGACCCCGTTTTCCTAGGCGCTGTTTTCCCCAGACTCCAGACTTTGGGTCCTCGATCCTCTCATCTTCCACAGGACCAACGCTCCCAGCCCCTTCTTTCTTCCCCCAGGAGTGAGCCCCGGCCTCTGAACCTCAGCGGCTCACCACGGGACATTATACATGCGCATTTCAAGTAGTGAGTGGGAGTGAGTGCAAGGAAAGAAAAGTGTGGGGGTGGAGAGATGGAGGTGGTGTTTGCCGCCGGAGGCCGGTCCTATTCCTGCTGAAAGCACTGGCTCGGTAGCGGTAGCGCACGTCCCTGCCCCGCCCCTCACCCGTGTCTTCCAAGCCCTCTTCTGCAACTCTCCCCTAATACTCTAATCCAGCTGTGGGACTTGGGAGACTAAAAGAACTACAATTCCCATGGGGCATTGGGACAGACAGGAGATGAATTAGTTGGTTTCACCTCTGAGGCCTATTGGGAGTTGTAGTTCTGTTTTTACATAGCCTTAAGTTGGGAACAATACATGGAGGAGTTAGGAGCTTCTGGGAAAGGATTCCAAAATTCATTTAGGAAATAGGATTCTGGCTTTTCTGTGCTTTTCTCTTAGCTTCAGATTTCTGCCCTCTTTCTTCAGACGGGTTGGTTATCCCTGCCCCAGTCCAGCACAGCAGATCCTGACCGGGATCCAGTCTGTTTCTGTTCCCACAGGGCCTCCCTTCTGGGGCCTGGTGAACGCTGCCTGGAGCCTATGCGCTGTGGGAAAGCGGCAGAGCCCCGTGGATGTGGAGCTGAAGCGGGTTCTTTACGACCCTTTTCTGCCCCCACTCAGGCTCAGCACCGGGGGAGAAAAGGTAAGGAGCCTTGCATTGGGGTGAGTTTGAGCAGAGGGCCTGTGCTGAGGCGGATGGTAGCTGTGGGGAACAAAAGGTACCAGCTGGGTGGAGAGAGGCGAGGCGCCTCACTCTCTGCAGATCCCCTGTTCTTCCATTTCCCACTGGTTTCCTCGACTTCCCATGTTTGCCAAAACTGATGAAAACAAAGTGCAACCCATGCCAAGCGTTTGAAAAGGCTAAACCCACGGATGTGCACAGGACCCACACTATAGGTGCCGTTTTCTCATCTTTAGTCTATCTTCTATATTACACACACCTAGGTACCATTTCTTTAAGAAAGGCCAAAGCCTCAGTCATTTTCTAGTCTGTCCCTCAGTTCCTCAGATCTACTTTCACACTAGGCTCATGACAATCATTCCTGTCCTTTTCATTTCCTGCCCCTCCATCTTCCGCCCTTATCCAGTCCTCCCAGTCCTTCGTCTAGCCTTCTGCTCTATAGCCTGTAATCCATTATTCAAACTAAAGCCCCAACTCCTATGTCATCCTAGCTACATAGGAGGCAGAGGCAGGAGGATCTCTGTGAGTTAGAGGCCAGCCTGGTCTACAAACCAAGTTCCAGGACAGGCAGAGCTGTTATAGAAAGAAACCCTGTCTCAAAACAAACAAACACACAAAATAAATAAATGAATGAATGAAAGGAAGAGGAAAGACTTACTCTATAGCCTCGTCTGGACTTGAACTCATGGCACTCCTCCTGCCTCGGCTTCCTCGGGGCTAGGATTACAAGCCTGAAATAGTACTCCTGGTCCAGTACTTGTTAACCGAATTAATTCATCAGTGTTGAATACCTGTAGAAGACATGGTCTGAGTCTGGGGAGTGGCTTCTACCTAATCAATATTAAATTGTTGGACTCAGGGAATGGACGAGTGGAGCATGGGGGGGAGCCATCTCTCTCTGTGTCCCCAATAGCTTCTGCCTCTCCTGCAGCTCCGGGGAACCTTGTACAACACTGGCCGCCACGTCTCCTTCCTACCTGCATCCCGCCCTGTGGTCAACGTGTCTGGGGGTCCTCTTCTTTATAGCCACCGACTCAGTGAACTTCGGCTGCTGTTTGGATCTCGAGATGGGGCTGGCTCTGAACACCAGATCAACCACCAGGGCTTCTCTGCTGAGGTGGTGACCTCTAACCTATGACCCTCCACACCAGGCCACCCTATTTTTTTTTTATCTTTACCTCATTCATCTACCAAAGGCTACCTGTCCCCACCCTAAGTACTTATCCCTAATGCAATTCTGAACACCAAAAGCCTTAGCGTTGAAACCATCCTCTCGACTCCTCTGCTAAGGACCCCTTCTCCTTATGCCCCTACTCCCCCAGGTGCAGCTAATCCACTTCAACCAAGAACTCTACGGGAATCTCAGTGCCGCCTCAAGGGGCCCCAATGGCCTGGCTATTCTCAGCCTCTTTGTCAATGTGAGGGAGGCAAGATGGGCAACTGGCTTCCAGGGTGCGAGGGCCAAGGGAGGCTGGGAGGCTAGGTTCCTTATTCTGGGGTGGTGGGCCTTTGGGGAGCCCTGGGCTGCTGTCTCCTCGCCTCATGCCCCCTGCATAGGTGGCTGGCAGCTCCAACCCATTCCTCAGTCGCCTCCTCAACCGGGACACCATCACCCGAATCTCCTACAAGAGTAAGTCCCCAAGCTTGGGGTGGAATCCCAGCTGTGAGAGAGGCTGGGGAAGGAGGGTGACAAGGCCAATCTGGGCTGCAGAGTGGGTTCAAGGCCAGTCTGGGCTACTTAGTAAGATCCAATGTCAAGATAAGAAGTGAAGAGAGTGGCTGGAGATGGAGCGTGGTGATAGAATCCTGATTTGAACCCCTCAGGGAAGGGCTCAGTGGTACCTGCCTGGCATGCCTGAAGCCTAGGTTCAATCTCCTACTGCAACCAAAACAGCGAACTCCCCATGTATTGCTTGTGCACAGGTGGGTTCCCAGGGGACACCCTTTCATGCTGGTTTGATATCCCCTCAGATGATGCCTACTTTCTTCAAGACCTGAGCCTGGAGCTCCTGTTTCCAGACTCCTTTGGCTTCATCACCTATCAGGGCTCTCTCAGCACCCCTCCGTGCTCCGAGACTGTTACCTGGATCCTCATCGACAGGGCTCTCAATATCACCTCCCTCCAGGTGACCACGTGTGCATGCTGCCCCATCCTAAGTACTGCATTCCCTGGGCTCCGACCTTCGCACTCACCCATGTCTTCCTGCGCTTATTGAGGCAGATGCACTCCCTGAGGCTCCTGAGCCAGAACCCCCCATCCCAGATCTTCCAGAGCCTCAGCGGTAATGGCCGGCCCCTGCAGCCCTTGGCCCACAGAGCCTTGAGGGGCAACAGGGACCCCCGGCACCCCGAGAGGCGCTGCCGAGGCCCCAACTATCGCCTGCATGGTATGCTTCATGTGTACTCTCCTCGATACAGTCCGCATTATTCCAGGGCTATCTGTGGGACACATTCCTCAGTCCTTTCTCCTACTCCCCACCGAGACACCTGTTTTCCTTGTGGTACAATTACATACTCATCCATGCCCTCTGCCTACCAGCACTTTCCAAGATGGTACGGTCCAAGTCACCTGTTTACAAATGGTATGACCCTACTTATGGCTAGAGTCTTGTCTTGGCTATCCCCTTTCTCAAAGTCAACGTGGTACAATCCCTCTGTCTTCTTCACTGCCCCCGGAAATCCTCTCAACAGGGTACGATGGTACAGTCCAGACTCCCATTTTTTTTTTTCCCCCCTTCGTGTACAACAACCTAATCTGCACGTCCCATCTGACCCTCTTCCCTCCCTAAATGGTCCGATCCAGGAGCTATTTCCCCCAGTTTGGTTTATTCCAGCCTCCTTTAGCAGCCAGACTGTGGTAGAGCCTTATGTGCTCAGACTCCCCACCACAAGCCGACGCCTTCTTTTGCAGTGGACGGTGGTCCTCATGGTCGCTGAGACCGCCCCCCCAACAGAGGATTACTCCCGCCTGTTCTGAGCTTCCTCACGAGGAAAGGGGAGTCACCCTAAAACAAAGCTATTAAAGGGACTGAATGTGTCCAGCTTCTCGGTGGTTTGATTTTCAGTCGCGATTGAGAAATATCAGGGTATTAAAAAAAATCTTTCCTGAAGCTCACGTCTTTCTGCTTTAACCTGCTGTAATTGGTGTTCTGCGTTTTTCCTCAAGCAACGAGCCCGTGTCCACGCGGCTGCTTTAAGAGGCACCCCCACCTGTCCCACACTCGAATCGGGCAGCACGCGCAGGCCCATGTGCTTCCCCTTCTTCCTGCCTCATTGGCTCGAAGTGGGTCACGGTCCCGCCCCCAGCGCCTCCTCTCATTGGCCAAATATAGGTCAGTGTCCCGCCTCCTTCCAAAAGGAGAGGCAACTTCACAAGCTCGAACCCCTCACGCGCCTCCAGGGTCTTGGCAGATCCCGTCACTTCATTGGCTGAGCGTCTCAAGGGCTCGAGATGTAATTGGCCCTTGCTTGAGGCCCGAGGGAGGCACGAGGCTGGGGTGCACAGTCCAAGAGGAGGGAGGGGGCCCAGAGGAGGGGCACGCGCTCTGGCGTCGGGTGTTTTGGTTTGGTTTTTTTTTTTTTCCGCGAAAGAAGTTTGCTTTGGCCACGCCTCAAGGCAGCCGCCTCCTCCTGCCCCCCTCCTCCGCCCCTGGGCGCACACCTCTGGGTGCAGATTGCAAAGCGCCTTTCCTTGCGAGAAGTGCAAAATTTTCAAGAGCCAGAGGTTCGCCCAGTGGTACAGAAGGAGCGCGCGCCGGTGTCTCTTGGGGACTCTGAGTTGCAAAGAGGCTGCTTGGTCCCCCACTCGCCCTGACTATAGGATCCTCCCAGGACACTCGGGAGTTGCACCTTTCTGCAGAGAGGACTGGCTGGCTCTCGGAGATCTTAGGATCTGCAGCGATCGGATACTGGAGGCTTGCACGCCACTCGCTCCCGACCCTGGGACACACTCGCCCGAACCGCAGGAGTGTGCAGGTGACTGGCCTATCATCGTCGACTCTCCATGAGCTCATGAACCTGGGAGCAGGTGTCCGGCGATGGCGCGGCCTCTGAGCGACAGGACCCCGGGCCCCCTGCTGTTGGGAGGCCCGGCCGGAGCCCCCCCTTGCGGGGGAGCGTTGCTTGGGCTGCGGAGCCTTCTGCAGGGGACCAGCAAGCCCAAAGAGCCGGCCAGCTGTGAGTTCTAGTCTCACTGTCTTAAGGACTCAAATGTTGGGGTGGTGGTTCGTGGCACCTGTGTGCTAGGTATCTCGTCTTTGCTAGTCCTCATTCGGTCACTCAGGTGTTTAGCCATCTCAGTCTCCCCGCGTCCATGGCCAAATCTGACACCTGGAAGGCCCAAGAGTCAAGTCCCCAGAGTCTTCCTCCATTAGGACGCAATCTAGGTGCCAGCCCCCTCTGTCTTCCCCTTAGCCTCGGAGTCTGGACCCCTGGCGTCCTGGGGAAGGGAGGGGGTGTGTCGGATGCTCACACGGTGCTGACACGGGCTTGGGCGGGGCCTCACGGGGTCACGTGGAGACTAGAGACTGGGAATGTGCCTGAGCGGTGGCGCCCCTTCCTGCCCCGAAAAGAGCGTGGGGGAGGGGATGAGGGTGCAAGCGGTGGGGGAATTACTGAGCTGTTACTTTTTCTCTCTCACCTGCCCGACCTTTCACCCATCCTGTCTCTAAATCCCTCTTTGTAAACTTGCATCTTTTGTCTCTGGGTTTTTTCTGACATTATCCTCTCTACACTTCCTCTTTCCTCTCTTTGGGTCCCTGTCGTCTTGTCCCTCTCTCTGGGACTCCCCATCCTCTGTCTGTATATCCCCTCCTCTTTCTGGGTTCCCATTTCCCTCCTTGTCCCCACTTCTCTGGGTCTTTGCCCTATGACTCCCATCTCCTCACTTCTTTGTATTTTCGCCATGCGGGTTTCTATACTTCATCTGTGACTTGGGGTTCCTCCTGTGTGTCTCCATCCCATTCCGTCTCTCCCTGACCCACAGGTCTCCTGAAGGAAAAGGAGCGGAAGGCGACTCTGCCCTCAGCTCCCGTTCCGGCACCGGGCCTGGAAACGGCTGGCCCAGCCGATGCCCCGACTGGGGCGGTTGGTGGCGGTGGGTCCCCGCGGGGGCGCTCAGGGCCGGCGGCTGGCCCGAGTCTTTTTGCGCCGCTGCTGTGGGAACGCACTTTGCCTTTCGGCGACGTGGAGTACGTGGACCTGGACGCCTTCCTGCTGGAGCACGGGCTCCCGCCGAGCCCGCCGCCCCCCGGGGCCCTGTCGCCGGTACCCTCTCCGGCACGCACGCCCGCGCCCTCCCCGGGGCCCGGCTCTTGCGGCTCCTCTTCCCCCCGCTCGTCGCCGGGGCACGCCCCCGCGCGGGCTACGCTGGGAGCCGCCGGCGGCCACCGCGCAGGTGCGGTGAAGGGGCGGGGCTGGCGGGCAGGGGACGGGCGTCGCCATGGTTTTAGAAGTCTGTCCGATGAGATGCCGTGATCCATTAGGGCATCTGGGCCCCCAAATGCGAGAGGGTTGTCTAGTGAGAGGATGTATTTTTCTCTAGGACTAAGTTTCCTCATGCTCTTGGAGCCAAGACTAGAAACTCAGAACACCTTAGTTAACTGGGGAGCGGACTGTCTCAAAGTCCCTGTCCAGATTTTGGGAAACGAGATAGGACTGGACTTAAAGGACACCTAAAATAGGAGCAGGCCAGAGCTGGGCGCTAGGTTCCCGGCTCCACCCCCTCCTTTCCAGTTGAGGTTGTTGCATTCTGGTTCTCAGAGTCTTGAAGCAGAGAATGTCGGGGTCCCGATTCTGTATTGTCCAGAGGGAGCTCCCCATATTCCTGCGACGGGCACCTAGGATCTTAGAATTGTGGCAAAGGGCTTGTTAGCCGGTTCCCCCGCGATCCCCCTTAAGTGCGGGGTGGGGAGGTAGGATCCTTGGAGATGTTGGAGCTGATACCAAAAGGAACAAGAGGGGAGGCGACCCCCCCCATCAAGACAAGGAGTCTCGATGTGGGACGCCTGGGTACACCTGTCCCTGATCCGACCTCCAGGCAAAACACTGCTGCACATTCCCGCGCCACGTGAGTCCTCCTTCCCTGCTGTGCGCACGCGCTCTCACGCGCGAGGAGGCGGGGCCGGGGAACGTGAGGGTGCGTGGGGTGGGGGGGAGAGAAGGGAAGCAGTCGGCCACACGTGATGCAGCCCTGAACCGGTGTCCTCGTTTGGCCCCGACTTGTCTGTTCTTAAAGGCACAGGCATCTGCTTTTTTTAAAGCCAAGCTCCTGGAACCTCGGAGCAGCTTCTGCTTTTCCATCACTCTTAGGAGTGAGCCTAACAGGTTTAAACTCTGAGCATACAGAGGATTCAGTAAGTAGAACTCAGACGAGAGTGGGAGCAAAGCTAATACCGAATCTGAAGTTTGGAGGTTTTGGAAGCTGCTAGCAGACTCACGGGATGTTTGTGCCTTACTCGTAAAGGTAGAATTACTTTCATGGAGGCTGAGGGTCTTTGTCATAGGGTTGATGCTTGACCGGCAGGCTTTGTGTTAAGTGCAGAAACTGCCCAGCGGTTTCTAAGATGGAGGGTGCCTCTGAAACAGCAGTCCCCAAACTGAATACTCAGGAACTCAAGTGATGTGTATTTCTCCAGGCTTGACCTCCAGGGACACACCCAGTCCTGTGGACCCAGACTCCGTGGAGGTGCTAATGACCTTTGAACCTGATCCAGCTGACCTTGCCCTGTCAAGCATTCCAGGCCATGAGACTTTTGACCCTCGGAGACACCGCTTCTCAGAGGAGGAACTGAAGCCTCAGCCAATCATGAAGAAGGCAAGGAAAGTCCAGGTGCCTGAGGAACAGAAGGTGAGCCGGTGTGAGGCATGGCCTTGATCAGGAAGGAAGCTTCTCTTTGGGATGAGGTCTCAGAACCCTATAGGCATACCTGATTCATGAGGCTCCTAGGGACAGGCTTTGTCCTGAGAGTCACCGAGATGGTGTCACTGTGGAGTCCAGTCACACGGACCTAGAACCCCCATGTGGATCAGAGACCTCATTGCCTGCTACAGCTTTCTTTAGCCTCCTATTAGCTTCTCAGCAGCTGGCCTGGCTGGGGCTGACATTGGCAGCCTGGGGCCTGGAAGTCACCTGTTACCAGCCATGTTCTAATTTGCGGGAGTTTCAGCAGCAAATGAATCCTAACGTTCTGGTTTTGCTCTTATTGGGGTCTCTGCTAGCGAAGAAGGCTTCTCTCACGTCTTTGCCACGACCTTGTATTATAGCCATCTAGCATCCAGTTCCCTCTTAAGTGGTGCTTTCTTCTTCAGCGCTCAGCTGTTGCTAGGGAATGTGAATGAGTCCTGGCAGGCTGGGACCTTTAATTAGGAAGCTGGGTGGAGGACCCTTGGAATAATCCTCAGGGGAAGCATGAGCCTCCAGCTCTTCCTTCAGTTAGTTACTGGAGGGAGAAAGGGGAGGGCAGACAGCCCCCATCCATCAGTAAGGGCAGAAGGAAAGAGACTGGGTCGGATCATTGGGTCTACTTACAGCTCGTATTTACTTACTGAGATGAGGTTGCCTTGGCAACCAGGACATCAAACCTCATGGGGAGGGGGTGCTAACCAAGCTTTTCTTAGCAACCAGGGTCTGGAAAGGTGATGTTGTAGGGCAGTGTGCTCTTCCATGGGATAAGCCCCTTAGACCCTGAAGGTCTCGTTGCTAGGTAACAAACATCCATAGCAACCAGCTTTCCATAGGTCCTTGTCAAGTGGGAGGCTTGCTCTGCACAGTGGAGAATTGACCAGGTCTGTTTTTTTACGTATGTGTGCCTGGAATCTATCTCGCGTTTTACTTTCTGCTAGGGATCTGCTCTTAGCAGGTAGGGCAGTAGACAGCAGAACCTTGGGTACCTATCCCAGCATAGACATTTAGGTCTTATGCTGTGGGAGTGTTTCCAGACCTGCCACTTGTTCCTTTGTTGGATCTCAGTGCCTTTCCACTCCTCTGTCCCCAGGATGAGAAGTATTGGAGCCGAAGGTACAAGAACAATGAGGCAGCCAAGAGATCTCGAGATGCACGAAGACTCAAAGAGAATCAGATATCGGTGCGGGCAGCTTTCCTGGAGAAGGAGAATGCCCTATTGCGGCAGGAGGTGGTGGCTGTGCGGCAGGAGCTGTCCCATTACCGCGCTGTCCTTTCACGCTACCAGGCCCAGCATGGGACACTGTGAGGCTCCTTCCACCCTGCCTGGGCAGTGCCCTATTCCTTACTTAGACTTGCACCTGACACTCTTCCTCCCTCCTTGTTCCGTGGCCGATGGTCTGGCCAGCTAGGTGACCCCAGGGACGTCATGATACAGACAAATACATTTATATTTTTAAGAAAAAGCTAGCCTTCTCCCACCTCCCTCGTGGGGGTGGGGAGGGTCCTGTGTGTGCTCTTAGCACTTCGGGGAGCCTGTCTACCCAACCGCCTCCGTCAACACAAACCTGAATAAATCTTGAGAACCCAGGAGACAGCTCTTGTGGGGGACAAAGCAGCTACTGGCTCTGAGTACAAAGCCAGCGGCAACGCAAGTTGAGTAAAGGACAGATGTCACTGAAAGGACCGTCTGATGGAAGGGCGACGAAGAGAGCGACGCTTTTATTGCATAGACCTTTTCAATTGCTTTTTAGACCAGGGACACACAAGACATACAACATGAGAAGTGAATTTCCCACCCCCAACCGGCAAGGGGTGGGCCATTAGTGCAAATCCTGGGGGGGGGGGGAACCTGCCCCTCAAGGGCTGATTGGCCCGTCAAACGGAGGCACCGAGTAGGCAAGAAACCCTGGCTGGCCAATGAGCTGAGGCCTTGCTAGCTCATACATTCCAGGCCCCATCATTGGACAGCAAAGAAGGCAGGCCCCAGCCTCAGCCGCTAGGTCCTCTGGGAATTGAGGGTCAGGACCAGTATCCACCCCTGCTACTGTGAATCCTGGTATCCCTTCTACCTATAAAAGCCAGGCCATATCCTATGATACTGTGGTCCCACCACCTTGTAATATTTCAGGCTCCTTTAAGTTTACGGCTTTTGACCCGCAGGCCCAGTGAGCAGCGTGGCGAGACTGGGATGTACCTGCGCCTGCATTGGCCCGTACTCCACTAGCTCCCCGTCCACAGTGAGCACGCCACGAGGCGTGAGTGGCTCGAGGCGGAAAGCTCGAGCTGCAGCATAGCTCAGGTGCGGGCAGCCCAGGCTGAAATGGTTTCCGTGCTCCATGGCCAGCAAAATACGCAGTAGTGCAGCTCGTGAAATGCCGCTGCGCACCCAGCACAGGTGCACCACGCCGTCATCAAATCGAGCATGTGGGGCGGCCACCAGGTCTGCACCGAGGTGGCTGGGCAAGATGGCCAACATGAGCACAAACTCGCCCTCTATTGTCACCCAGTCTGGGGGCAGTGGAGAGCCCAGGGGAGGGAGCAGGTGGTCAGATGGGCCCCAGGTGGAGACTTTTGGAGTATTGGAGGTGGGAGGCGGGGACCCCGAGGATGCTGGCGTTTCTGGGGGTGCTTCACTGATGGGTGAAAGCTGAGCTGTTTTGGGAGAATTGGGGGGTGAAGGAAGCAGTGGGTCTGGGGACAGAGGTGCGTCTCCAGCTCCCCCCCAGTCTCCAGTCAGTTCTGGACCACCACCATTGAGGGAAAGACCAGGTAGAGGTTCAGGAGAGCCAGGGGAGGCCAAGGCAGGTTGGGGCAGGGGCAGGGGCAGGTCAGACACTGAACGATGTAGGGGCGAGTGGGTGGCAGCTGGAGCTGGGGCTGGGGCCAAGACTAGTTCTGACTTGGCTCGAGGCAGGCTATGGCCTGGGATGGGCAAAGCTGGCTCTGTAGTAGCGGGGAGGTAGGAGAGGCGTCCACGGTAGGTATGCAATGTGGCCAGGCCTAACACTGCACCCAGTGTGAATCGAGCACTGCCCAGGGCCCTGAAACGCTCGCTGTGAATGTCCACATCTGACAGGAATCCCCAGGCCACTGACAGGAAGGAAAAACAGCGGGATCCTGAGGCTAGTGTGACGGAGAGCAGGTCCAGAGGCTTGCTGCCACCGCGGCAGAGAAGCAGCGAGCAGTTGAGCAGCAGGTCAACACCGACAGCAGGCTCAAACCTTCACGGCCAGAGATGGGTGTCACAGGGGAAAGAGCAATGGGGTGGGGGTGACAGCCAGGGAAAAGGACGCCCGTGCCCACCAGGGAGCCATCCCCGCTAACAGGAAGAGGGGCAGGAAGCTGAAATGTCTCGGGACCCTGTAGCTCCAGACTCATCCCTCTCTTCAGCAGGTATCCCTGCTGTCTCAGAAGCTGTCAACGTACCCGCCATGGTGGTTAACCGCCCCAGCTAGGGCATTGCCAGAACCGCAGGGGAGGACCCCAATGGGCATCCGCACGGCATCTTTCCAGTCTGGACGATCAAGGAGTCCGTTCAGCACCTGTGGTTGGGATAGGGCTGCCTGGGTCCTCGTTACCCTCTATGGTTACCCCCAGGGCAGGGTTAGGGTGTTTGTGGCTTTACCTCATAAAGCAACCCATCTCCAGAAACAGTGACGATGCCTTCCCACTCACTGAGGCTCAACCCCTGGACCAGCTCACGGGCATGGTTCTGTCGTTCTAAGTAGACAAATAAAAGGGTTAGTCAAGAAGCCTCCTCATCCTGCCACTCCCCTCCAGAAGATCCCAAAGTATCCCTCCCCACCCTACCCCAAAGCCCCTACCTGTCTGTATGAGGTTAAAGGACAGTCCAGCCTCGGAGATCATGGGCACCACGTGGTCCATACAGCGCTGCCAGGCCAGGCCCCGCCCCCCAAAAGGATTAACCAATATAAGCAGCCTTGGCCTCCGGGGCAGCAGATCAGGGGTGATTTCTAAGGAGATAGCAAGAGAGAAAGAAAGGGCTGACCATGCCAGAGGCCAGAAACCAGAGCTCCTCCTCTTGATAAAGGAACCCCAAGGAGACTTGATAAGTCAAGGGCAGGTGCCCAGGGCCTGCTGGGCGTTTCCCTTCTGTCACCTGGCCGGTGTGGGCAGCCCAGGTTTCTCACTGGTGCTGAGATAAAGGGTTGGTTGTGAAAGCAACTATGTGCCCTTTGAGCTCATATGTGGGAGGTGGAGAAAGAAGCCTTGATCCCTCAGCCCTGTTAACAAGCTCTGGGGCCTGGGAGGCACACACAGGAAGTGGGGCCCTGGGTGAGGAAGGCTCTGCTGGGAAGCGCCCTCCCTGTGGAGACCTGTGTGGTAGCTCTCACCACCCCCAGTCAGCCTCCCGTCACACACCTGGGAGGCTGTCCCTCATCTGTGGTCCAGGGAGGGTCAGACAGTACAGCCTAGAGCAGAAGACCTCAGTCTTCTGTGAAAGACCAGAACGACACAAGGAAAGAGACAGAAACCCCCTTGTGACTCTTGCCCCGCATCTCACCCTGCTCCCCAGACAGAGGTACTCCTCGAAGGAGACACATGAGGGCAGTAGCCCAGCGCTGGGCCTCTGCACGGTTCTCCTCGTAAGTGGCTGCGCCATCAGCCCGGAAGGTCCGAATAGCTCTGCATCGGCCCCCACGCCGGCACCGTGGGTAGGTGTAGACACAGAAGTAGGCTGCAGTGTCTGAGGAACTGCGGCTCTGCAGAGTGCCACAGCCTGAGACCTCTGACAGAGGGACTAGGCCATTACGGGGCCGGGCTTCTGGCTTTGGGCGCAGCCGCTGTATGTGCAGGGCTTGCACTGTAAGGGTGAGAGCAAACCGGGGGCCATGGGCTGGGTAGGAACCAAACTCGCCGTGCAGGATTGGAGTACTGGAAGCCAGTGGCAGTGCTGGTGGTGGGGCCATGACTTCAGCCCTGTCCCAAGCACTTCTAGACCCCTGGCTTGTGGTCAGCTTCTGGTCCAGCCTCTGTGGGGAGGGAGGAAGACAATGGTCAGAGTCCTGCATCCTCACCGTAGGTGGGGAGGGGCTGTGAGAAGGAGACAGTATGGGAAGGGAGCACCATAGACAGACTCAGAAGAGCATGGGGAGACCACATGAGGCAGGGCAGAAAGCATGGACACATTTACCTATCTTTCAGGACTCTGTATGCAACAACTAGTTAACAGCCAGCGACACCTTATTTCCGGAAACAACCCCACCCACAGAGAAACAACAAAAAACCCACACCAATCAGAAGACAAGAAAGAGCAGGGCCATGGTGGCGCACGCCTTTAATCCCAGCCCTCAGGAGGCAGAGGCAGGCGGATCTCTGAATTAGCAGCCAGCCTGATCTACAGAGCGAGTTCCAGGACAGCCAGGGATACGCAGAGAAACCCTGTCTTGACCCCCCCCCCCCAAAAAAAAGTGGCCAAAGGCTAAGTAAGATACATGGTATACTGGGTGATAGCAAGGGCTCGAGGGAAGGGGAACAGGACACAGAGGGAAATTGCATGATAGAGACAGGAAAAAATAGGCTGAAACAGAAAGACACTGTCCCTTCCCACACACTGAGTCACTGTAGGTAGAGAGTGGAGAACCATGCAGACACACAGGCACAGAGAAGGAAGGGACAACTCTAAGAAGCAGGAAACACAGGCCAATAGGACACTTAAAAGTTTCTCACCCCAATGAAGAAAGCAACAGACAGGAGAGAACGGGCATGACACCCAGAGCAGTCAGAGGGCAGCCATATGGGAGTGACCAAGGGAGTGGCCAGCCACCAGCTGGTTTGTCGGGAAGCACTAACCTGGCTGGTCAGCCGCCTTTTCTTCGAGAAGAGGGTGGGAGCCAGGGCTGAGCCCCTTCTGCTGTGCAGAAGGTCCAACCACTTAACTGCTCGCCTCTGGGCAATCTTACCCCGTCACCTGGGACACGCCCCCATGGACACTGTCTCTTGGGATCTACTTCTGTCCGCTCGCTGCCCTGGGCCGCTCTCTTAATGCCCAGGTTATCTACCCCGCCCTCAAACCTCCCTCAAATCAGATACCAGCACAGAGTCCTATACATGCTCCATTCTGGGTTGGGTCTCGGCCTCCCGGGACTCCAGATTTGGGCCTCCATCCACAGGTTCCCGGCTGTCCGCTCCGTCTGTCCCTGGTGTGTACCCTTACTCCAGGGCCGCAACGCAGGCCCGGGTCTGGGTCTCTATCCCAGGCATGGCCCTGGTTTGTTTCCAGATCCCACCAAGTGTTTCGTCTGGGCCTGAGTGTCCGCCCCTCTAGGGTCATCCGGAACCCCACAACCTGCGCGCACGCCGTGTCCTCCCGGCCGCCCCTCCAGAGTCAGCACTACCGCCCCCATCAGATCTAGGGGTGGGGGAAGGGTGTGCGCCCGCCCAGCCAATGCCTGCGCAGCCAGTCTAAGCCGCACTAATGAGAGAGCAGGGAGGCGGAGCCATCCGCCTCCGGAACTACGCGACGAGACCTGACCGGTCGAGTGAGGAAACCGGGAGGGGCTACAGCCAAGCAAGGAGGCTCCATCATAACTGAGGGCACACACGCAGCAAAGGTAAGGACGTGGT